ATCATGACTTGAGCCGAAGGCAGTCGCTTAACCAACTGAGCCACCCAGGCGCCCCTCTGATATTTTTATTAAGAGCTGTTTTAATGTAGTGGCAGGAGCAGAATCAGACTGTGATAGGTTGGGGAGAACCTAAAAGATGAGAAGGAAAGCAGAGGGGACAGATGAGGTTGGAGAGGCAAATGGGCCAGGCCACAGAAGAATTTGTGTGTCACTTTTAGGAATCTCATTCTTGATAGTAGAGGCAATGAAGAATCAGTAAGGGGTGCATCATGGAGAGTGTCAGATTCAGATCCGCATCTAGCTGGATCATTTTAGTGGTCTTGTGGAAGATGGATTAGGGAGAGGGGAGTGTTCAGACTGGAGGGGGGAGGGCAGTGAGGGGCAGCTGTGGCAGTGAAGGCCAGTGACCTGCGGCAGGCGGAGGAGGGGCAGAGTGTGCACAGCAGAAATACCTGGGAGCTAAGGTAGCTGGCAAAACTTTAAATTGCTGGATTTAAATTGGATAAAAAGGATGATCTTGATGTTTTAATTTTGGTGACCAAGATGATGGAGGTGGTATGGGGGCTACGGGAAGAAGATAATGGTGTAGAAGAGAGAGCAGTTGGAACTCTGTCCGGGTTGATGCTAAAGCAGTTGGGGGAGAATCCAGGCGGGGCCACCTTTGGCAGTTGGATACAACATTCTGAAGCACAGAGGAAAAGTGTGTATATTTGCAAGTCATGAATATATAGATAGGGGTTGAAATCATCAAAGTGGATGATGCAACACACACACAAAAAATGAACAGAAGAGTGATATGGGAAAGAATCCCAGAGAATCCACCACTGGGTGAGGGCGGGGGTCAGAGGAGGGCGAGCATGTTATGGAGAGCGGGAAGGGATGGGTGCAGAGGTTCATGGAGACCCAGTGAAAGAGAAAGAAAAAGCCAGTCCCTTGCAGTTGGTTACTGTTTTGGCAGCCAATAGCTAGACCGTGATAATCCAATGCCGAGCATGAGTAACTTCACAGAATATTAACATCAGACAAGGTTACTGTGTCATTGTGATAGAACAGAACAAAAACAAGACCACTCCATAATCATACCTGAACACAGAAAGAAAAAAAAAAAAACCACCATGTAACTACAAAATAAGATATCACTCTTCCTGACATAACTCAGAACAAAACACCCACATCCCTGAACCCTTTTTAAAATCACCTGACATAACCCGAATCTTGTGACTAGGCTCTCCTAACATCCTCTCTCTAGGAAATCCCCAGAGTTCCCCGGGGTGTGCTGTGTGCTATGCTGCAGAGTGAATAAATCTAACTCTATTTGACTATAGGTGTGTTTCTTTTTTTAAAAAACATTTTATTTATTTATTTGACAGAGAGAGAGCACAAGCAGGGGGAGCTGCAGACAGAGGGAAAGGGAGAAGCAGGCCCCCTGCAGAGCAGGGAGCCCCACACGGGGCTCGATCCCAGGACCCTGAGATCATGACTTGAGCCGAAGGCATCCTCTCACCTGACTGAGCCACCCAGGGGCCCCAGTATTGGTGTGTTTCTGATGATTTTTGAGCACTGGGCTTTAACAACTTTATAGAAGCCAAAAGAGGGCGCCTGGGTGGCTCAGTCGGTTAAGCGACTGCCTTCGGCTCAGGTCATGATCCTGGAGTCCCGGGATCGAGTCCCGCATCAGGCTCCCTGCTCAGCAGGGAGTCTGCTTCTCCCTCTGACCCTCCCCCCTCTCATGTGCTCGCTCTCTCTCATTCTCTCTCTCTCTCAAATAAATAAATAAAATCTTTAAAAAAAAAAAAAAAGAAGCCAAAAGAGTAGAAAGTTTTATGGAGGAAGACATCACAGTATCTAGTGGAATGAAGAGGCCAATGATGTCCATTGAATTCGGCAAATATGAGCTTAGACTTTTGTGAGAATAGCTTTGGTAGGATACTGGGGGTAGATGCAGGGGTGTGCTTTTACTATCTTGGGAGAGATAATTATGTATATTTCTTTCCAATTCCGCGTTCAGTGACATCAGGTGGTAGCTGGAAATCAGCCTTGGGAGACTTTTACACGATAGAAATTGGCAAATGCTACAAATCAAGGATTTTGGAGGGTCAGGAAGTTGGTAAACATTTACCATCACACCACTGGGTAGACCAGACAGGAAGGAATAGGAGGGGAGAGAGTCGAGGCAATTAGAAGTTTGCAGGGACAGGGGAGGAGAGAGATGCCACAAGAATTAGCGGTGAAACACAGGGTCGGTGAGAAGTCGACTTCCGACTGCCTCATTTCCTGTCCCGTGCCCATTCTACCTGCACAGTGATTGCTTTGGTTTACTAGTGAGAGCATGGCAGCCTAAATGGGACCATTTCATTACAGCTCGGGAGAGAATTGGTGGTGGGTTGGATGTTTACAAAGGCAGAGAAAAGGGGAGAAAGAAGGAAACTTTTGGAGGAATATTTTCCAAAGTCTTACAAATGGTTATTACGATGACTAGCACCCGCTCTGGAGACAAACGGCCCAGGCTTTTGTGTGATGTGTGTGGGTTTGCCACTCAGGGACCGTGTGGTTTTGAGCAAGTTACTGAACTTTATACCCCAGTCTTCTCATCTATATGAAGATGATAATAGTACGTACCTCATTTGTGATATTTATTGCTTTTATAACCATAAAAATCCAAATTTATAAAAATAAAAACCTTTTTCTGATACACTTTACATCGTCAGGCACTCTTGTGATCCCTAGATTATCCAGCAGGAGGAACTACTGAGTTGCCTACTCGCCACTCTAATCCATCACTTCACTAATAGGGCGAGGAGGAATGATTGCATTGTTTGAGAAAACGTAATGATCTACAGTTGGTATTCTTGAAAGAATCTGTTTGTTATAAACATGCAAATCCCCCTTTCTAATCTTAGTAAAGTGGGAAACTCGTGTGAAAATTGTCACTATCACCCCTTTTATTGTGGTTTACTATGTGCCAGCGCTATTCTGCATGCTTTACGTATATTAGCTCTTTTAATACTCATTACAACACTAAGGGGTGAGCACTACCCATTTTAGAGATAAGGAAGCTGAGGCACAAAGAAGCTAAGCGTCCCAATGTTACACAGCTGGTATGAGAAAGGATCTGAACCTGAGCTATCTGGTTCTACAGTCTGTGAGATATGTATTTGGCACATTCTCGTTAGAACCCAACCAGGGTGGGTTTAGTCTCTTCCAGAAATTCTGAAGAGCTACTTTCCTTGCTTTCACCTCAATATGAATGAGCTCTTTTCCTCAAATCTATTGGAACAAGAAAAAGAAGGTATATCTAGTCCAAAATCCTTTAGAGATATTAAGACCCATGAAACTCTGATTTTTGTCTGAAACCACTTTGCTCCTGATCAGTACTCTATTTATCTGTAAGAATGTGATTTTTTTCTCTCACAAATATATTATAGACACAGCTAATTAAACAAGTATTTACATTACTTTTGAAAACCCTGAGAGCATATTTTCTTTACATACTCTACACCGTATGCAGTTAACTCTTGGCAGAAGCCCCCCCCCCATTCTATTCTTTCAAAGTGAAAATATTTGCCTCTAAGGAAAATATGTGAACGTGGTTTATGCAAAATTGAGGCTGGAGATATTTTTTCATGTGGTTTCAAACATTAACTTTCTCGGCACTTTTATTGTATTAGTTCCCCAAAATTGCCAGAGAACTGCATAAGACAAAATAGTATTCTTTTTCGATTGAGAGTACCAAATGGAATTACAGAGAACTAAATTTTAAACATTGCTAAATATTCCCCCCTTCTTTTATATTAAATTGGTGGGAAAAGCAAGGGATTCAAAGGAGATCTGTGAAGGTACAAGGTAAGATGTGACCCCCCCCCATTAAAAAAAAAAAAAAGGATGTGACCCTCATTGACTGTTTTTCATGATTTGCCCAAGGCCACCCTGGAGCCTGATGCTGAGAATTTGTTTCTCCTCAGTGCCACTCCCAGCTGCCACCCCACCCCCTCACTTGAGTCATGGTGGTGACAGAAGCAGGGCCAGGACACTGGAGGTGGGGTTTTAGGTGCTGGTTGCATGTTGATATACGGTTTTTATTTGGAGAAACCTCAAAATAGTAAATGAAAAGAGTAGATTACTGGGCTTAAATTGGGACAGATTTGTGACAGGGAGTGGACTGCCGCACACGGGACCTGAAGGTATCCGGGAAGCCAGATGAAGCTCTCCCAAGACTGAAGTGAGCATCTGCTAAATTCAGTGTGTTCATGCATTAAATGTGTATTGAGCTCCCCCCAAGACCCAGACACAGTGCTAGACACTAGGTATACACAGATAAATAAAACATGGCCTCTGCCGGCAAAGAGCTCCAGACCCAGCAGGATAGGCGGGTACTTAAGCAGATAAGAGTATGAAGTAAGCCACCGTACAAGGTACAAAGGTGGAGTCCAGGAGGAAATGGCCACCTCTGCCTAGGAGGGTCAGGGACGGGCTCCTGGGTTGCGCACACACGTTCAAACGCAGTGCAACACTGACCCACAGGTACAACATGAACACCCACCCCAAACTGCTTGAAACTCAAATATGGGATTGTTGAAAGTCAGAACATTATCGGACAGCAGGGATTAAATATTTAGCAGGTCTGCGCGGATTAAAACGTGCACCCGGTGAGGCACTGAGAACCACATGCAGCGTGAGAGGCTCCAGGACGCGGGAAATGAAGCAGTGGCGAGGCGAGGAGGCGCGCGTGGCTGCAGCCGGCCCCCGAGCCCCCAGGCCCTCTTCCCAGGCCGGGCGCCGGCCCCCCACCGCTCCAGGCCCGGGCCGGGCGGGTTAGGCTCGCCCACGCCGCGTGTAACCCGAGCCCGGCCCCGCCTCTCCCCGCGCGCACCCCGGGGGCCGGCCGGGCAGGTCGGGGCGGCGCGCCGTGAGTCACCGGAATCTAGGTGGGGCCCGGGGGCCCCGAGCCGCGTCCTCCCGGGAGCCGCCTCCCCGCCGCCTCTTCCCTTTTGTCGCGCTGCCCGCGCTCGCGGGCCACTCTCCGCGGCGTCCGAGCCCCGCGCGCTCCTCTCCTCCGCGCCGCCACCGTCGAGATGCTGCGCTGCGGCCTGGCCTGCGAGCGCTGCAGGTGGATCCTGCCCCTGCTGCTGCTCAGCGCCATCGCCTTCGACATTATCGCGCTGGCCGGCCGCGGCTGGCTGCAGTCGAGCGGGCACATCCAGACGTCCTCGCTGTGGTGGCGATGCTTCCATGAGGGCGGCGGCAGCGGGTCCCACGAGGAGGGCTGCCAGAGCCTCATGGAGTATGGTGAGTGCCGCCGCCTCCGGGAAGACCTCCGGGCTGTGGCTGGGCGTGCGCGTTCTTCGGAAACCGCCCTAAGTGAAGGGACTGAACTGGGGCAGAGGTAGTGAGTGATGGGGTGGGGTGGGGTTGGGGGAAGTCTGTTTAGAGCTTAGGTTTAGGCATCCGACCTGAACAAAAGAAAGCATTAGCGGCTTTGAGTGGCCAGAACCAGGCCCAATGCTGGGCGAAAACGGACCTAGTTTAAACTATGTTTCGTGTAGCGTTTGTCGGTTACATGCAAAAGGTGATTTTCAGCCACTGAAAAGGTTTAGATGAGGAAATATAATGAACAGTGTATTTTCTTGGAGACCTACTGAAATCTCTTACCATTGCCCCTCCTCCTGTGATTCTTGGTAAGATTAAAATATAAATATTAAAATATGTGCCTTCCCCAAGGTCGGTGTATTCGTTTAACTGGGACTAAGTGAAAGCAACTCTTCTTCCATTGAAAAAGCCCTTTCCGTCAAAGTTTTAGCAGTTATGATTTCAATAGGGATGGCAGTATTTTTTAAGCAGCAGGCTAGTTTTGTTAGCTTTTGTTTTAGGGGCTGTCTTTTTGACTTAAATCCGGCATTGTTTAGAAAACTTACTTATTCTAATCTGATTTGAAATCTACGCAGCAAACTCATCTTCTACGCCAGCAAAATGAAGCAGAGTTGACAAATTTAATATATTGCAGATGGAATATTTTATTTTTTCCAGCATGGAGGCAGCCCGGGTGGGCGTTTTACTTAATATGCGGGACTGGAGAGGAGCCCAGTCCTGTCGGGGGCCACTCCTGCTTAGGGTAGTCCTGAAGAAGAGCAGGGATCTATTGTGATTAGCAGTGTGTGCCTGGGGTGAGGGAGAGGAGGGGTTAAGTATGAGCATAATCCGAAACTTAAAGCTAAATGCTACTGAATGAGGCTTTAGCAACTGAGTTTAATAGTTTTAAACTCAGAAAGAAGGCTACCCGGCCTTTTTTTCATTCCCTGCTAGGACCATTGACTTGATTCTTTACACCGAAGTGCACCGAAGTGGCCCACGGCTTCCGAGCACACTGTTTATTTGTGGTTCTGGGGGCCCCTATCCAGAGCTTGGTGTTGTATCTTATCTACTATGGAACTGTATGGAAATTCCCACCATGAGTTTTCCCCGCAAAGGGAGGCATGGTCCTCATTAGCAGCTAATAAAATGTAAAGACTGCATGGAATTCCTGCTTTCCTTAAAGTCTGTGTTTTTCCTTTCTTAAAACAAACAGAGCGCCTGCCAGCATTTCAATTATCTCAGATCTTTTAGGTTTTAAAAGGGAATTAATTTCTTTGAAGTAACGTATCTGTATCTTTTAGTTAAAACGTACTGGAGCTCAGTCTCTTGTAGGGGAACTTAACAGGACTGCTTAAACAGGTGTGTCTTTAAGCAGACTTGATAATCATACTCAGAACAAAGGCTAGTACAGACCCAAAGAGCAGTCTGCAGTCCCCCTCATGTGCAGTCAGGTTAGTGCAGCACGGGAGGAGAGGTGCTGGTAAAACCCCCAGCAGCAGCACTCTCCCTGGGACGTGATCTGGCCTGCAAGACTCTGGCTGTGACTACAGCCCTCTTGGGAAACTCACACAATGCAGTTTTTATTTTTCTTGACTTGCAAGGTGAGCTCACCTTCGTAGGGTGTGGTGCCTCCAGCCTCACAATGATACAGTGCTTTGTATATGGAAGGGAATAAGCAGGTTTTGTTGGTTTAATTTTTTAATTAGAAGTCTAAAGCATAAACTCTTTTAATTGTAAAGACACCACTGATCCGGTGTATAAACTATGTTTCAAGTTGATGTAGAAATTGGTCTTTGGCAAAGTTCAGTTTTCCAAGTAAAAAAAAAAAAAATCTATTACTACCTTTATGATGCAGCAAGACTGATTTTCATAAGTGGGTGGTGGCTTTAACATCCCAGTTAAGTTATTCCTATGACCTTTGCAAAGATAAGTAAGTGCCAATAATGTGTTAGATGCAGCTTTTGTGCAAGACCTAGAATCAAATCATGAATCCAGGATCCACTGTCATTAGGTGTCCATGGGAAGAAGAATATAGATGTGAACTCCCCGAAGAGAGGTCCATCTCAGGCTCCTGTGGTCAGAGATGAGTTGGAGTGTTTATTATACTTTCACTTCATTTTGTGCCATGGACTGTTGGCTAGTTTTGCTTCACAAATATCGAAATTGTGGATTCCTACAATGTAGGGTGATTTTCTAGGCATCTCTAACTCTGGAGATTTTCAGATAACCTCAGTAAGGCTTTGTGGAAAACAATATGTTTACAGGAGGTCTCTCTAAAGGGTTTACAGTTTACACACACTCCCACATATGTGTAAACCCAACAAGGGGTAAGGTGGATGACTCTAATTAAAATGATATCTTAATATAGGAGATTGAGAGTGTATATCCCTCTTTAAAAACTTCTTGCTATGTTCTAGAGTGTAAACGTTGTGATTTACATTGTAACTATTAAGAAAGTATACCTTCTCATTACAAAGTGCTTGACCATCTCTTTCTATTAATTAATACTCATAACATTAGTATGTTCGTTTTGATATTAAAAACAGATTATTCCTGGCAAGTCTTGGCAATAATGCTAATAGGAGAGACGTCTTTATAAAGGGAAATATTTCCTTAGAACTATGTAAAATGCAGATTATACTACCCATTAGAACTATGTAAAATGCAGAATATTAAATTCCCCATGGTTATCGATGGTTTTTTAAAGAACTTCAGATTGCTACATCACCTCATTTTTCCTCATAAATGAACTAAATTATACACTGAATATTTGCTTTTACATGATATCAACAACTAAAGAAATACCCAGCTTCACAAATACTCATTTAATTTTTAAACAAAATCATGAGCATGTAGAGCATGGAGAGAATCTCACATTTATATTTGTCCAAACAGGAAGAGAACATTGAAATGATCGGTCAAATTTCACCTACAAACAAAATGCAAAATTGCATTTGCATGCATGTTCACATATACTGTTTTTGTTCTGCCGGCACCCTTTCTTCCCCAGTTTTAGGAAAAAAGTACATCAGAAGGATATTTTAAATATCAATGATAGAGATTTCAAATCCCAAGCAGGTGCCTACTTGTCAGGGTGGAAACTAATTGTGATGAGTGAATGGCAGTGGGGACCCAGTGCAGCCAAATCAGAGTGCCTGCTTCAGCTCTGAACTCAGAAGTACAGAGCTTCCTTTTTACCAGATGCCTTTGAATACTGCACAGTGCATTGAATGTGTTGTTTTGGGGGTTTTTTGTTTTTTTGTTTTGTTTTGTTTTTACATGAAATCAGTCTCGGGTAAGTCCAGGAATCAGAGTATTATATGAAATATTTTTAGATCATTTAGCCCTATGGTTCTTTTTTTTTTAAATTTTTTATTGTTATGTTAATCCCCATACATTATTTCATTAGTTTTAGATGTAGTGTTCCATGATTCATTGTTTGTGCATAACACCCAGTGCTCCATGCAGAACGTGCCCTCCTCAATACCCATCACCAGGCTA